ACTTGGGTTTATTTGTTGAAATCAAAAAGTGATGTATTTGCTTCCTTCAAAGACTTCCACATGTTAGTTGCTAATCAATTCTCATCTCACATCAAAATCTTGCATTCTGATAATGTCACCGAATACACATCTCATGAAATGACAAACTATTTAACTCGTAATGGAATATTGCATCAAACCAGTTGTGTTAACACACCACAACAAAACAGGACGGCTGAACGGAAAAACCGTGATTTGCTTGAAAAAACTCGTGCATTGATGCTTCAGTTGAATGTGCCAAAATCTTTTTGCTCTTATGGTGTTCTTACTGCGGCCTATCTTATTAATCGCTTGCCCAGCCGTGTGCTGGATTTTAAGTGTCCTCTTGAAGTGCTGCAGAATAAGAAACCGGATATTTCTCATCTAAAGGTTTTTTGCTGCATTTGTTTTGTGTATTTGTCAAAGACTCATCGGGACAAAATTGGATCCACGAGCAGTCAAATGTGTGTTCCTAGGATATTCTCAATCTAAGAAGGGCTACAAATGCTATGATGCAGTCAATAAGAAGCTCTATGTTAGTAGAGATGTGAGGTTTGTTGAAACCAGCCTGTATTTTGAGAATACCAATCAGGGTGAGATGGTAACTAATTTATTTCCCTTGCCACTTGATACTCCAGCTTCCTCTGATGATCTTTCAAAAGCTGAAAAAGCATTAGTGCCTACTGAGACTTTAGTTCCTGCTGAAAATGTAAATGAAGAATTTCCCCGACGTAATCCTCCTCGAGATAGGCGTCCTCCTAGTAAATTGCAAGATTATCTTACTTCATATTCAAGCAGGCATCCAGTTGCTAAATACTTGAGTTATGAAACATTGTCAACTTCTGATACCTCATTTCTAACAGCTATTTCTAATGTGAATGAGCCTAAAAGTTTTACAGAAGCTGTCTCTCAAGCCGAATGGAAAGAAGCTATGGAGGATGAGTTAACTGCACTTGCACCTAATAATACTTAGTATTGTGCATCTTCCAGAAGATAAACATGTAGTTGGCAGCCGTTGGGTGTTTAAGACGAAGTTTAACTCTGATGGAACTGTTGAACACCATAAAGCGCGTCTTGTGGCTCAGGGTTTTACTCAACAGTTTGGGGTCGACTACAAAGAAACCTTTGCTCCAGTTGCCAAATGACCACTGTAAGGGTTCTTTTATCTGTTGATGTTAATCATGGGTGGACATTGTCTCAAATGGATGTAAAAAATGCTTTTTTTCATGGTGAACTCGAAGAAAAAGTTTTTATGAAACTTCCACCAGGTCATCCTCAAGCTGCTAATCCTAAATTGGTTTATAAGCATCATAAATCGATTTATGGTTTGAAGCAGAGTCCACGTGCTTGGCATGCGAAGTTGAGTTCCGCCCTTGAAACTCTTAGCTTCTCTAAGAGTACTGCAGATTCTTCATTGTACATCCGCAAAGGGAAGGTTGATAGATTGATGGTACTTATTTATGTTGATGATCTTATAATCACGGGAAATAATGTTGATTGTATAGCTGAGTTGAAGAGGAATTTCCAGCGTAGATTTCCTATCAAAGATCTTGGTTCCTTGAAATTTTTTCTTGGTATTGAAATGGCAACTTCCAGTAAGGAACTTTATCTCAATCAGCGTAAGTATATATTGGATTTACTATAAGATACTGGTCTACTGCATGCTAAGTCTGTTGCTACTCCATTAGACAGTAAATTGAAGTTTGATTCATATGGAAAGTGTCTTAATTCCCAGAGGTACTATCAACAACTCGTAGGAAAGTTGATTTACTTGACTATAACAAGGCCGGGTATTTCTTTTGCTATAAGTTTTGTTAGTCAATATATGCATACTCCTACTGATTATCACTTGAGTTTAGTGAAAGGTATTTTGCGATACTTGAAAGGCCTAATAGGGCGTGGGCTTTTGATGTCAAATAATGGTCACACCAATATTATTGGTTATACTGATTCTGATTGGGCTGGAAATGCTCTTGGTCGGTCCACAACTGGTTATTGTGTTTTTGTCGGTGGAAATCTAGTATCGTGGAAAAGTAAAAAGCAACATGTTGTAGCTCGATCTAGTGCAGAGGCTTAGTACCTTGCCATGGCTACTGTTGCATGTGAACTTGTATGGATTAAGAGCCTTCTTAACGATTTGGGTTGTTCTTATCGTACTCCAATGGCATTATTTTGTGATAATCAAGCTGCAATGCACATTGCAGCAAACCCGGTGTTCTATGAACGAACAAAACACACTGAAATTCATTGCCACTATATTCGTCAACAAGTTCAAGCTAAGTGTATCAACACTTTTTATGTGCGAAGTGTGAATCAGCTTGCCGATATTTTCACCAAAGTTTTGCCATCTACTCAATTTTATCAACTTTTGAGCAAGCTTGGATCTATTAATCTTCTAGATCCCGCTTGAGGGGAGTATTGGAAAAAGATAATCTGTTATTATTGATAGTATAGATAACTATAGGCAGTTACTATTGATTAGTCCTGTTTGTGTAGATATACCTTACATAAGAATAGCTATCATTAGCCCATAACCTTTATATATAATCATGTATTATGTTCACATGTACTATGAATGAAAAGTACTAACTTTCTTCAGAAAGGAGACACACGAGACTCTGTCTTGTAGGTTTTAGGCCTTCCGCCGCCGCCTAGATCATCATCACTACCCGTCGTAAGACCGTACAAATCCAGGCTTCGTCAGATAATCTAAGACAGATTGAAATTGAAAAACGACGAGATTAACTCATAATCAATTGAAATATTTAAAATTAAATTGTAGAGTGAAGTTTTTTCTTTACTTATTCTTTTTTTTAATTTTTTTTGATAAAAAGTAAATTTTGTATTAAACTGCGTTACCAAACCAAGTTTACATCACTAATGTACATGTTTTCATCGCAGTAAGTTGATTTTCCTGCTAATATCTAACATCACCAAGTTTAACTTTCTTACAAAGATTCCCAAGCCTCCATTTAATCTCCTTCCTGATGAGCTCAAATCTGTCAGGAGCTGATACTTCACTGTTTCCATGTCTTCTTGCATTTTTTTCCAACCATATGTGATAAACAGAATTTAAACAAGTATATAGTATCTTTCTCCTCATGGCTTTAAACCCCCAGAGCCTCAGTAGCTGAGTTTTGTTCAGTAACAGTAATTATCATTAACAGTGATTAGGACAAATAATCTTTCTATATACAAGTTGATCAGACATGTTCAACTTCAAATGTTTCTTCTCTAGCTCTAACAACCTTAATCTATGATTTAATCATTATTCCTTGTCACCTTCAATAGCAGCAATTGTTATAGATCACAAACTACTACATGTTTGGCCTATTTGAGTACATTAATTAATTGAATTATAACTTGACGGTGTATTACACGAGAGACTTAAAAAGTACTTTTTCTGTTCTAAAAATTATTATTTAGTTTAAATTTTTATTTTTTGGTTCAGTTTGTACTAAAAGTGAAAATTCAAATTGGGTAATAATTTTGGAACGAAGGGAGTAATACGAACCCCAGGATCCCTAAATCAGAACATGCAGGAACTATATTTACTTCATATTTCACCGTTTTCTTTGTACTCTATCTATCAAAATTATTAAGTTATAATTTTTCCTTTACTGACAATCTATATTAAAAATAATATTTAAACCAAATAATCATTTCAGGATAAACAAAATACAAGAAATGAGACTCAGCTCTATATCTAAATTGATATACTACGTGTTTGTTCACTCAATTCTCTTTACTGGGAGCTTGCAATATAATTGTCACCATGTCCTTGCATGTTTTATTTGACAATTTGTCCACCAGTAGATAATTACGTGAACGATTTGAAAAAGCCTGTGTGATCAGGAAGTCTTTCTAACAACAAAAAACTTCAAGGGCTATAGTAAAGTTTTTTGAATTAGATCAACAAGGCAGTAAAAGTTAGAGTCTGTTGTAATTGCTACCTACTTGCGTATATTATCCTTTTTTAATTTGATCACTTTTGGTTGCCATCTACTTCCAAACTAATTAAATTTTTTTTTTCGTTCCTTTCTTTTTGTAGAGAGATCAGATGGTAAGTTGGTTGGTTAAATTTTATCAGTAATACAAATATAACAGATGGATCGGGTGCTTACATTTAGCCAAATAAACCAATGGTTCATATTCGAGAAGTTTTACGCGATAATGAAGTGGGGTTGATAAAGGTCTAAAATGAAAGTACTATTAAATTGTATGGCGCAATTTCTAGTTAATTTTCGTTAAGTCATAAAACGTATGTAAAAAACAGTGAAATGTATAAGCAGTAAAGAAATTTCAAAATTCATTTCATTAAATTACAATGCTACGATTATGGACACTTAACATGCCTACTAGTATAACACACGAAAATTGACAAATACAAACATGATTTGGTAATTTGTTTATTTACTTGTTGTCACCTATAAATATAAATGACCGTCGAGAAAGTCAGTGAAGCACATGCAAGCACGCACACAATAAAAACGTGAATTAAGATGTAATAACACTAATATGCTATAAGTTGAGCCTGCCAAATGTAACATATACTTCCCAAGTTTCAGAAGTAAAACATTATTAGTACGGTGTCTATTTTATTTATCCTTTGTTACCATACGTAAAAATATTTTAGAGTCAACAATACACCCCCAATGCCCATATCTCTCTGATGTCATAAACGAGGTTTCATTTTGCAAACTTTCTATAGACCAAATAACCCTCCTCAACGAACTTTTCAAGATTTTACTCTCTCAATCATGCTTAGTTGTTTACTCAAGCATCATTATTGTAGTTAATCTCAATTATTTCCCTCCTTTATAATAAAAGAATTTTTTCCCCAAAAAAATAAAAAAAACCAGCTACTTGTAACATTACGATAGGTAATTACGTATTACTCACATCATTTCCAAGAAAGTCATAACGAGTTAGCACTATAAATAACCACCAAGTAGGCTCTCTCCTCCATCCAAAACCTCTCAAAGCCTTTCAATTTTGAATTACTTTCTATTCATTTTACCTTCAAATACCTCCCTTAACTACTTCATTTCTTTGAGTTTTAGAATGAAAGAATCAGTTATGAATCACGGCGATGTTAATGCCATCATCCCAACCAAAAAACGTTCTCCCATGAATGGACAGGAGGATGAACCCACAGTGATGAAGAATAAGAAACAAATGAAATGGAACGATCCAATGGCTTCTTTAGCTGATGCCCGGCACGAGTTCAGCGAGCACGGCGGCGTTAACATGTCAATTGAGGCCTCGGCCACCTTCACCGTCATGGAACCCGAAACCATGCGCCGTATGTTCACCGGCGAGTTGGGACCGGAGCGTGACTTCTTCATCTACAGCCGCCATTTTAACCCCACCGTCCTCGGTCTCAGCCGCCAGATTGCCGCCCTCGAAGCCACCGAGGCCGCTTACTGCACCTCCTCCGGCATGGCTGCAATCTCCTCGGTCATACTCCAGCTTTGTAACTCCGGCGGACACTTGGTTGCTTCCAGGACACTCTACGGTGGGACCTACGCGCTCTTTGCTCATTTCCTGCCTAGGATCTCCGGCATTACTACTTCCTTCGTGGATGTTAAGGATCTCCGAGCGGTCGAGGAGGCGATCGTGGAAGGAAAAACGAGCGTGTTGTATTTTGAATCGGTTTCTAACCCGACTCTTACGGTGGCCGACGTGCCAGAGCTTTGCCGAATCGGACATGCGAAGGGAGTGACCGTGGTGGTGGACAACACGTTTGCTCCGATGGTTTTGTCACCGGCAAAATTAGGCGCCGACGTTGTGGTCCACAGTGTATCCAAGTATATCAGTGGCGGAGCCGATATCATTGCCGGTAAATTATCTGAGTTTCTAGTCTTTGGTCATTGTTTACGCAGCAAATTGATAGTATTTTATACTCTTTCTGCTCCAAAATATTGTTTAATTTAATTTTTACTTCTAATAATATAACTAAAAGAAAAATTCATACTGTATAATCATTTTGGACCATAATGATCATTTTGAACTAAAAGTAAAATTCTAAACTGGATAATCATTTCTGGACGGAAGGAGAAGTAATTTTATTTTTTTTCTTTTTTGGATTGTTTGAGTAACATTCAATGGGTCTAATAAGTCACTTCTCGTTATGGTTGGAGTTTGTTAAGAGAAATATGTATGAATCTCTGGTTATAAATAATTACTTTTATGGGTTTGAGATAATATAAATACTCCTGTAATCAATTTTCAATTACACAGGTGCTGTTTGTGGTCCAGCTAGATTGTTGAATTCCATGATGGACCTTCATCAAGGTTCTTTTATGCTATTAGGTCCTACTATGAACCCTAAAGTAGCTTTTGAACTCTCACAAAGGCTACCTCACTTGGGAATCAGGATGAAAGAACACTGTAACCGCGCCTTCGCATACGCAATGAGGTTGAAAAAACTCGGCCTCCAGGTGATTTACCCCGGTCTAGAAGATCATCCCGATCATGCTCTCATGAAGTCGTTGGGCAACAAAGAGTACGGTTTTGGTGGCATGTTTTGTGTGGACATGGAAACTGAAGAAAAAGCCAACCACTTCATGAATCTTTTGCAGAATTACACTCAATTCGGGTTGATGGCGGTTAGTTTAGGTTTCCATGAAACCCTAATGTCTTGCTCGGGCAGTAGCACAAGCAGTGAATTGAATGATAAAGAGAAAGCATTGGCTGGGATTTCACCTGGATTGATTCGGATGTCAATTGGATTTAGTGGAACTACAGAGCAGAGATTGAACCAACTGGAGATGACTCTATCAAGAATGCAAGAAGGTGGCTTGTTGAATAAGTATTAGTTTCATATGGTATTTCTAGTCTTGGGTTTTACCACTTCTCTAAATAAAATTGTATTTATGAAATTTCTTATGTTATTTCTCGTGGCAGTTTGGTTTAACAATTGTTAACCATAAGCAGCTTGTAACGGCTACTATGTCACTGATGTATTATGGAGTCAATATGCTTTAAGCTGGAGTTGGATCACTAGTTGTGGCTTCTATTTCACCTACAAATTATGGGCTTTTGTATATTGCTATAAACAGTTTTAATGTTTGAATCAAGTCTGATTCATTTTTATTCTTATATACACTTCAGTTAACGCGCCGGTCATTATCATCGATTTTTCGATAAATGTATCACGAAATATTCTCCGCGATAAGAACTTGAAAAGAATGTCATTATTACAGACATTATGTTCCCAAGCCAAGGGTATAAATGGGTGGAGCTGGATTCTCCCCCAAAAAAAAAAAAAAAAAAAGAGAAGAAGAAGGAAAAGAAAAATGAAGAAAGAGAAATGATATTAATCTCACCAAATTCATCTCACATTCAATTATAATATAGAGCTCCTAGATACATCTTATAAGATATATGGTGGGGTGTCAAGCCAACAAACAATTTAACTTACTTTTAAACAAGTAGCATAGAAAAGCAAGGTCGTCTTCTCAGAGAATGGTGGATTCGTTTCTTTCAAATAAGTAACCAAAAGGGGAGTTTTGAGTTTTTAAAACTAAAATATAATTAAAATAAAATTCAAATGATAGTTAAAAAAAAAAAAGCAAATTATGAGAAAAGTCCTAGTCGAAAGATTTTATATCCACCTTGGTCTAAACAATTGATCGTACATGCAATGATATGCTCAATCACTTATAAGTAAATTAGTCTTCGTTGTTGGAATCTCCTAACAACTCAATCCTAAACTAAATTTAGTGATTAAGAAAATCTTCATTAAACACATTAGTCAAAACTAAATCCTACAACCTCCTAAGAATTAGAAAATAACTGCATTAAGTACAAAGACCCAATTTTGATTCCTATGAGACAAATCTTGTTTTATAAAAAATCAGATTACTTATTCTTATAACATAACAAAATCACTTACCAAGTAATATAATTATATTAGTCCCTTTTAAAACAACAAACATTGCTGCCTTATTGGTTGTTAACTATCATGAAATAATTAATGTTACCAGTTATTCATGAATCCAGAATAACAATAACAGTCATTCAAAAAAACACGCAAATACTTATAAAGAATTGAGAAATGAAGAACATTTAGATATCACAACTATTAGGAACCAAGGATTCAATATCTTTCAACTAGAAAACCTTTACCGAGATAAAATTATGGTGAATGGGGAATAATAATGCCCAAAAGGGCTAGATCGGTGGCTTAGAACCCCTCTTACCTCCTCATTTCCTTCTCACGGTCAGCCCCCCTAAAGAAATAGAAAAAAACTAAACCATTTATATTGGGAAAATAGGTCAGCCACTGGGAGTTGAAAAGATTCACACCTTTTACAATTCTATCCTTTAAGTTTTGATTATTTATAATTTGACCCTAATTTTCTTTAATTTTTCATTTTAGTCCCTATTATGGTTTGGCCAAACGAGAATGCAGCATCAATGCTGAAATTTCTTCTCCAAAACTCAATTTTAGACTGAGATTCGTGTGCCCACACAATAATGTGATGTCATTGCTCCCTTCTTGTGCTTCCTTGTCAAAATGCTCCAAAAATGCGCGTTTAAGTAACATTTTGCTCCATCTCATCTCCTAACACTAATAAGAACCAAAAACATCAAAATACATAACATAAGTGCACAATTTAATCCAAAATACTATATGAATACCCATAAATAACATGAAACTTTAAGACCTATCAAACTCTCCCACACTTAGATTTTGCTTGTTCTCAAGCAAACGCAACTTAAAGTAAACATGATAATAACCTTTCCTACAGACTCTAACATACAAAAGCAACAAAAAGAATTGTCAAAACTTGTCTCAGATTCTAGTCTCATCAGAGACAAATAATGTACACCACATTTCTGTACCATATGATCAAGTCAGAAACTCACTACCATGGGTAGTGTGAAACAGACCACAAAACAAAGTGTTGCTTAACCTACTGTCCAATCTAAGATTAGATTCAATTAATTTCAAATGGACATTCTTGTGATCAGTACCTATTTTCTTCTTATCTTCAACTAGGGTATTCTTACTAAGGTTCAGATCTAAGGGCTTTTCTCTCATTTTCTGCAAGCATCATTGACTGCATCTTTCACCCTCTTACCTTTTTCCACCCTTTGTCCAAATTGGCTTTTCTTATGGATGTTTCCCACTCAGACCTTTACAAAACACATTTTTCAGCAACTATGGTAATCTAAACATTTAATTTCTTTTTAAACTCACCGGGCCTGAGGACACTCCTCTCTTTGGTGCCACAACTCACTTTTCAAGGGATTAAATGCCACATTGGATACTTTGCCTATACTCCCTCATTAGATAAAGCATTTAACCTCGTCAACCGCCAAATTTTCCCTTTTCCCAAGGTATTTAGGCTAATTCAAACCACTAAGCGCTCGATTCGAGACTACCATAATACGTAGGGTTGCCTTAGTGTAACTCTCATATTCACAGTTCCCCCAAGTTTCAAACTAGTGGACTCCAGAATAAGATCACAATAATGTATTAAGCATTCAAGATTTCAAAAGTTTAAGCCCAAATCAAACACATTTTCAAGTGGAATGTTGTGAATAAAGATGTGGTCGTGAGTTTCTAACATTGCTTAAGAGTGATCCTGAATAGGTATTTTTACAGTCATATGCAACCCTCAAAATTGAATTCATCATAGACTATTGTCAATTCTTAAAGAAACACAAATTCCTCCCCCACACCTAAAGTATACATTGTCCTCAATGTATAAAACATACGAAGACAAACAAGAAAAGTACATACAATCTCCCACATAATGCAAAAGAAAAAGAAACAATACTTCCTTGGAATTTTGAAGTGGCGAAGTCAATTTTGGTGTGAGATGAGTGTCAACAGCCTTGTTGGATTCACGAAGAAGAAGGAACACACAACACAGTTTACCTTCAATGCTAGCTGCCATACTTAAACAAACAATTAAAACAATCTGACACCACATTGATCAAATGATTAAGAAAAACCACAAAAATCAAGAAATCATGGAATTCAAGATAATTAGGAACAAAAACTAAACCACCCAAGTGGTTTTTTTTTTTTTTGGTAAACTGTAAATATATATTCAAGATCAAACTTTGAGTTTAGCATATTTACAACCAAAAATGCCTATGTACAAACTCCCTACTCAAACCCACCATACTCTCAAACACACTATACTCAGTTTAAATCTGCTATCCAAAAAGTTGGTTCAAAATTGTTTTTTCCCCCTCTCTTTTCCTGCCTACTATTACTTGCTCTATTCTCCACTATAGCTCCTGTTTAATACAGGTGATCACATCCTTTACCTGCCTCTGCTTGCTTGCAAAAATACGACCTTTCCGCTCTGCCCATATATAATAAACCACTGCCACCATGGCTGTATACCAAATCTGTTTTCTCAGTTTTGATTTCCTCCACATTGTCAAAACTCTCTGTCTCTAGACCCTTTGGTTCTTCGAAATCCTCATTGCTCCCAACCAACTTCCCATATCCATCAGTAGCTCCTTTGCCCAGGCACATTCAAAAAATAAATGATTTGAAGTTTCCGGAACAGCCTGACAGATGCCACAACTGTACTAATCCACTTAACAGCTGCATAGATGCCAGTCTCTCTCTTGTTAAAAGTCTGCCCTTCCAAAATAGCCAAGCTATGAAACTGTGCCTGGGTACATTCATTCTAGACAATATCATCTGTGCAGTAGGCATTTTACCAACATCACCCATCAACCATCTATAACAGGAAGAAATTGAGAATTTACTTGACCTGGTATATTTCCATTTTCCACCTTCTATTTCAGTTTTCATTATATCCTTCAAGGCCAATAACTTCCTCCATTGCCAGCTTATATCCTATTTTGCTTTCAGCAACCAGAAATTCCTCCCTTTTATATATCTTTCATGTATCCATTTCACCCACAGATTGTCTTCCTTCATAGCTATTTGCCAAATTTGTTTCATCAAAGCAGCATCATTCCATGTTCTAGCACCTCTTATACTCAGGCCACCTTCAACATTAGTTTTGCATACCTGCTCCCAACCTACAAGTGAGATTCCCCTTCCTGACTCCTTGGCACCCCACAAAAAGGTTTTGCATATTCTATTTATCTTGTTTGTTACACTCTGAGGGAGCATAAAAGCCTGTGCCAAAAAGTTTTTAATTGCAAGCAAGACTGTATTTGTCAATTGCAATCTACCACTGTAACTCAGGTGTCTTCTGGACAAATTCATCACATTCTATTTGTGTTCATTTTCTTGGTGACAGTGGCAGTCCCAAATATTTGACAGGGAAATTACCTTCCCTAAAACCAGTAATCAGACAAATATTCTGCTTTACTTCATCTAATACACCTCCAAAATATAACCCCTGATTTAGCTTGATTAGCTACCAGTCCTGTACACTCAGAGAATTTCTTTAATACTTCACAAATCTTCTTGACAGTGAACTCATCTGCTTGGCAGAAAATCATCAAATCATTTGCAAAGCAGATGTTGGTGATTTTAAGAGTCTTACACTGGGGGTGAAACTTGAACTTTATATCCTCAGCTGCATCCTTGTAAAGTCTAGTTAAGTAATCCATAATCATCACAAAAATGAGTGGTGATATAGGATCGCCTTGTCTTAGACCCCTTCTTCCGTCGAAGTACCCACAAATCTCCCCATTAATATTGACTGAGTAGGACGTTGTTGTGATACATTCAATTATCTTATTTGCAAACGACTTTGAAAGCCATAACCATCAAGCATTTCTGCCACAAAGCTCCACTCAACCGAATCATATGCCTTCCTAATATTAATCTTCATCATACACCTCCTACTTATATTCTTGTGTCCATACTTGTTTACCAATTCCTGAGTTAGCAGAATATTGTGTAAGATCAACCTTCTGCTAACAAAGGCACTTTGGTTATCATCAATTAGGTCAGGTAGCACCCCTTTCAGTCTTTCACTTAGGATCTTGGAGATACACTTATAGATGACGTTGCAGCATGCAATCGGCCTGTATTCTGCTGTATTTTTGCATTCTCAAAGAACTCTTTGACTGCTGCCACAATATCATCCTTATTGACACACCATGCTCCCCTATAAAAGCCACTTCCATACCCATCTGGTCCCGGACTCTTGCCACTATGAGTCCCCCAAATGGCATTTTTAAATTCTTTAACTGTCACTTTTTTCACACATCTTAGTTGTTGTTTCCAGGTCAAAGTAGCTCCTTTCAGAAATATTCTGTCTTCAGCTGCTTTCCTCTGGGTACTTTGCCCTAACTACTTTTGGAAGAAGTCAATGAAATGCTGTTTGATCTTGTCCCAGTTGCCTTCAATCCTGCCATCCTCTGCCACTATAGAATTGATCCGGTTCCTATCTATTCTGACTCTCACTCTTGCATGGAAATAAGCAGAGTTTGAGTCACCCTATTTAATCCCTTGTTCTTTTGCTTTTTGGAACAGGAAACTCTCTGAAGCTATGGTGGCCTGCATAAATTGCTGATACATCTCTTTCTCCTTTGCTTGTAGTACTTCATCTTGAGGCCTATGACTCAATTCCTCTTGCAGTTGCTGCAATTGCTCCCTGAGTTGATCTGCTTTGATTTGGATATCAGCAAATTTTGTGCGATTCAGTTGTTTCAAATTAGCCCTGAGTCTCTTGAGTTTCCTCACCACCTGATACATTTTAACTCCTCCATCTTCCTGTTTCCACCCCTTCTCAACAATCCCGAGAAAATCAGTATCATTGCGCCACATGTTAAAAAATTTAAAAGGAACTGAATTCCTTACCCTTCCACTATCCAGTTGAACTAGTATAGGAGAACGGTCTGAGATTCTAGCTGCCATTACTGTACAGATTGCATTTGGAAACTGCATCATCCAGTGCTCATTGCTCAAAGCCCTATCAATTTTCGACGAAATCCTTCCATCGCCCACCTACTTGTTTGTCCAACCTACATCCTTGCTGCTTTATATCTTACAGCTCACATTACTCTATGCATCTTTGCATCCCTTGAATCTAATTCAGGCTTACACCATGTCCTTGCAACCTTTCCTCCCTTTGCATCACATTGTTAAAATCCCCAATCACTACCCAGCTTCCATCAACTGTCCCAGATAAACCAATTAAGGTTTCCCATAACTCTTCCCTCTCCCCACCTTGGTTAGATCCATACACAGCTGTACAAAAGAAACTTCCATCCCCCTGTCTTGCTTCAACATAGCAATGCATATATTGCACTCCCTGTTGGATCACATTCACTTTTAATATACTATGCTGCCATATTATACCGATTCTCCCCTTGTTTCCATCTTGAGAGTTTACCACATATCCACACCCAGGCTATGTTCTTTTCACCATTTCATCAAAGGCATGCAGTGTCATTTTAGTTTCTACTACCATCATGTCTACATTATATAGTCTATATAACCTACTTAGCTCCCTCTGTTTATTGAGACCATTTAAGCCTCTAATGTTCCAATGTAGGAGACTATTCATGATTACCTGGATCATATGGAGCATCCACCTTAGCCTCAGCATGTTCTGAAGTCAAGTTCAGTTGATGTTGAGTATCCTTCTTCCCTTTTATAGGTTGCAGCTCTTCATCCACTCCCATCAAGATATGGAAACCTGGACTAGTTGTCATCTTCTCCTTGCCTTTGCTCCTTTGCCTTTGCCCTTGCCCAACTGATTTATTAAAGAGAAAAAAAAAGAAAATAAACACCATTGGGTTGCCTCCCAACAAGCGTCATTCTTTAATGTCTTGGGCTAGACACAGTTTTGGTGCATCATGGTGGAAACATGCAAGCTCCACGCATAACTGAAACTTGTGAAAAATACTACCAAAATCACAACAAAACCAGAGTAGGAAGTTCCAAATTTATATACACACTTTAAATCAACATAATATGGTGGAAAGTGATCTCCTCTAAATGTTTATGTAAAAGCACAAAACTTTCTTCACACATAGACCATGACATCATGCATTAAATTCATTCTACAATCATTTAGAAATTTTAGAAAGTTCAGGAGGTCTAGATTAATGTCCATATGAAAACTCTTTATGCATAAGCACATGTGTTAACTCAAATTTTCGAGATTGCCACTTCTCGCAAATTTCAGGCACAAATTCGAAAACACAACTACTAGAAAAATCAACTCGTGGAGCACTTTTAACATTTAAATTCACATATTCTGATAATGATGTGACTCCATTTATCAATTTTATTCTAGCAGTTTTTCGAAATGATCTACCTAAGAAACATGGACTTTAGTTTAAGACTGGATTTCCTTTCACATTAATCACATCAAAATTACAAGGAAAAATTTCGACAACATTGGACTGACAAGTCATCTTCAACATGCCAAATAATAGCACAAGACTCATCAATAAGTTTTATAACTTTCTCCAGCTTCATTCAATGACACAAGTTTCAAGAATATAAACAGAGACTGAGGCATGATAGTAACACCAACTCCAAAATCTATGATAAATTTATCATTTTTAACATGGCCAAAAGTACATGAAGGAGTAGGTATACCTGAACCATGGAATTTGAAAAGTAGTTTTAGCTGCACTATATAAGAGAGATGTTTTCTCATGTAAATTATCTCACTACCTTGAAGTGTAGATTCATTATTGTTTGTGCACAAATCCTCTTCTGATTTATCATGATGAGAAAACTCATCAAGTTCCTCCAACAGAAGAACTTGGATCTCTCATTTAGAAGATGTATCTACAACATCTTGTTCATGCTTTTCTTCTTTTGGTTCTTATAACTTATCGTGAAAAGAAGTGACAACTGAATAAGTCAAATTAGATAAAAGAAAATTATCAGTTACCTCATCTGCTACTTCTGTAGACTCTTCTTCATCTTTAATTACTCCATCGTCTTTTGAATCCCATAGCTCAAACTCTTCTTCACTTGGTGTTTTTAACTTACTATTTTCAATAGTCTCTTCATTCATTCTTGTAACTATCTCAGATATTTGTCTATCCAAATTGTCCCGGATGGCACGGCTTTCGTGACAAAATTTTTCTACGTCAGTGGACAATCTTATAACAGTATCTTCTAGGGACATACCTAAGGTTGGTGATACTTCTGGAGGTTGACATGCTTGTGGGGATGGTGGTGAGTAATAGTTGTAGGAATACTCATGGTTGCAATCTGAATATTCTTGCCAACTTGGATCATATGTATATGAATTGGATTCATGACTTGGTTGTGGCAATCTCTAAGATTCTTTTACGGAATTCGCTCATTTCCACTGGTAGTATGGTAACCTTGGACAAAAATCTCCAGTATAAACAAATGCCACACTTTTGCAACTGTTGCGATGGACCTGCAGCCATTTTTCTCACAAGAGAGGTTAGTTCATCTAATTTTTGTTCAGTGGATGAAACATGTACCTCTTTTGCACTCCAATTTAAGGAATTGTGTTGGTCCCAAAATTGTTGTTCATATGCATCTATGGTCGATACACAAAACAAACAGAACAAAACAAACAAAATATATATATATATATATATCTATTTAAAAGAAACAAATCAATGAACACCGTTCCCCGGCAATGGCGTCATTTTGGTGGGGTGTCAAGCCAACAAACAATTTAACCTACTTTCAAACTAGTAGCATAGGAAAGCAAGGTCGTGTCCTCAGGGAATGGTGGATTCGTTTCTTTCAAATAAGTAACCAAAAGGGGGGTTTTGAGTTTTTAAAACTAAAATGTAATTCAAATAAAATTCAAATGATAGCTGAAAAAAAATGAAAGCAAATTATGAGAAAAGATCGAGTTGAAAGATTTTATATCCACCTTGGTCTAAACAATCAATCATAGATGCGATGATATTCTCAATCACTGATAGATAAATTAGTTTTCGTTGTTGAAACCTCCTAACAACTAAATCCTAAACGGAATTTAGTGATTAAGAAAACCTTCATTAAATACACTAGTCAAAATTAAATCCTTGAACCTCCTAAGATTTAGAAAACGACTGCATTAAGTACAAAGACCCAATTCTAATTCCTATGAAATAAACCTTGCTTTATAAAGAATCATATTACTTATTCGTATAACATGGCAAAATCACTTACCAAGTAATTTAATTATATTAGTTCCTTTTAAAACAACAAACCTTGCTACCTTATTGGTTGTTAAGTACCATAAAATAATGAATGCTACTAACCATTCATGAATCCAAAATAACAATAACAGTCATTCAAAAGAACACGCAAATACTTACAAAGAATTGGAGAAATGAAGAACATTTAGATCTCACAACTATTAGGAACCAAGGATTCAATATCTTTCAACTAGAAAAGTAATTTAGTTATACATAACAAAGCTGTACTGGAACAAAATTATTTAGAATGGGGAAGAATAACGCCCAAAATGGCTACATTGGCGGCTTATGACCCCTCTGGACTCCTCCTTACCTTCTCAGGTTCAGCCCCCCTCAAGAAATAGAAAAAAACTAAACTATTTATGTTGGGGAAATAGGTCAGCCGCTGGGAGTAGAAAAGATTCACGAATTTTACAAACCGGAATGTAGCATTAATGCCGGAATTTCTTCTCTAAAGCTCAATTTTGGACTGAGATTCGTCTGCCCACACGAGAATGTGATGTCATTGCTCCCTTCTTGCGCTTCCTTGTCAAAATGCTCCAAAAAGGTGTTGTTGTGTAAGATTTTGCTCCATCTCATCTCCAAGAACTCATAAGAACCAAAAACATTAAAATAAATAACATAAGTGCATAATCTAATCCAAAATGCTATACAAATACCCATAAATAACATGAAACTGCAAGATCTATCAAATATAGAGAAGTGGTAGCATATAGACTAGCCACAATTACATCAAGAGCTCCTACTTTGAATATAGGAAAAGGATTCTTGATCTAAAATCAATAATCCTTTTACATAGTTTGGTAAAATATCTATAGAAGAATAAGTTTCGGACGCCCCAGAAGCTGCTTCTTTAGCTAGCCAGTCCGCTACAGAGTTAACTTCTCTAAACACATGAATAATTTGAAATCCATTCTTTCGGATAATGGAAGACATTTCCTGTAAGTACAAGAGGTATCTCCGCTAAAAAACTGTCACCTCGTCCAAGATATCCACCTTCACCATAGATAAAAGAATCACCTTCACCTCGAATTACAAAACCATAACCTACCTCACCAATACCAGAAAAGCTATCAGTACTAAGAATATAAGTATTAAGAGGCGGGGGCTGCCATGTAACATGCAAAACCCGAGGTCGGCCAATGCGCCTTAAAACTACATGGAAGTCTTTTTTTTAAAAAAGCATCCTCCTCTTCATTTCGAATTTTAAGATCATGTAACATCATCAAACCACGTACCTCTTCCATAGTGGCATGAATAATGGAAGCATGAATCGGCTTTGCATCTTCAAGAAAAAGACCTTGTTTCCATAATTCCCAAAGGATAATAGAAGGTATAACCTTCCGCAATACCCCATAAGCCAATTTTAGACCCCCGCTACTCCACCATCGTCCAAACAAAGAAGATATAGAACTCACACCTTGGATTTGAACTCTCATTAAGGTATGAAAAATGTCGCCAAATAGTCCTTGTAAAATCACATCCAGAGAAACAATGAGATATTCCATCATCATGGTTCTTGCAAACAAACATATGGCTGGATAGCAAAAGATCCCCATGCTCGCTATGACTTCTGGAAATGGAAGAAGCTTATTGAAACATGCAAAGGTGTTTAAAATTCCAAAAATTTTTGCCCAAATTTCCTCCACTCCACGCCTCCTCAATGTTTCATAGGCGGATGTAACCGAAAAGACTCCTGTAGGTGTATGCTGCCAAACAAGGAGGTCATCCTCCTTCATGAAACATTGCTCATGAACCATGGGGAAGTGAAGGATCTCCTCAGAAAGAGATGGCTGCAATAATGGAAGGTAATGCTGCCGGTTTGAAAAAATTCCTGAATGATTAGGTCCGGTAAAGGTGGTTCCAGTCCTTGAATGTCCCAAAGGACTCCATGGGGCGACCAATTATCAAACCAAAAAGAGCGATTATTTTTAGATGTAGTAGATAAGGAGAGAAGAAAGCTACTCCAAATTCCGGTTTTGTTCTTTATTTTCCACCATAATTTGAGAGTCAAGGCAACAATGAATTCCTGAAAACCACGGATCCCCAAGCCATTTTCATTAATCGGGAAGGTAATTCTATTCCACGATCTCCAATGACGTCGAGATTCTTCATTCATGCCCCTCCAAAGAAATTTTTGACACATTTTTTCAATCTCTTAAATGGCCGACCTTGGAGGAGGGAGCGCCGAGACTCATGGACTAAAATGGATGACAAAACATGTTTGATCAACACCAAGCGACCTCCTTGACTAAGCATCTTGTTTTTCCAACTAAGGAGTCTCCGATCAAGATGATCTAATAAAAATTTGAAAGTGGACATTGTCCTTCTACCAAGATATAATTTTCAGCCGAGGTAAGAAAATGGAAATGTTCCTCGCTGAATGCCAAGCTCTATTTGTATTATAACGGTCCTTCTTGCATTGCAATTCTCCGCTGCCATAAAAGAACTCTTTGGCCGACTCACCTTTTGACCCGAAACAATCTCATAGTCCATTAGAAAACCATTTAACTCCTTCAATGATCTCTTTAGACCCCTTGGGAAGATGATCACATCATCCACAAAGGCAAGATGAGAAACTGGCAAGGAACCAACCGGAGTATCGTAGGCAGCCACCCTACCTTGCGTAACTAGATCCTTAAGGCGTCTTGTCCTTACTTCTGAAACAAGAATGTAGAGATAAAGGGACAATGGGTCTCCTTGCTTAATACCCCGAGAAGACTTCAAATATCCAGCCGGACTTCAATTTATCATAGCCGAGAACCAAGCGTCCCTCAAGTTATTCATTACCAAAGCAACAAAATGTATAGGGAACCCAAGCTTTATCATCACCCTTCCCAAAAAGTTCCACCTTACCCTATCGGATGCTTTCATCATATCAAGCTTAAGGACAAAATTTCCTCCTTCTGCTTTGCGCCCTAAGAATTGGCAAAAATCATGAGGTAGCAAAACATTATCCATTATGTCCCTCCCATGCAAAACAACGAATTGCTAAGATGTAACCACAGCTTTCTTTAGAATAAGGATGATCTAAGAACTTGAGATTGACCTGGGGATAGAGATCCCAAGCATGAATTCTTGGCAAGCTTGCCACAAGTCATTCGCAACAACTCCCCAACAACTTTTATAAAAGGTTCCCCCAAAGCCATCCACACCCGGAGCGCTATCTTCGCTAAGATTGAAATCAGCCACCTTGACTTCCTCAAGCAGTATAGGCCTCAATAAACCATTTCCATCATCATTATCAAGTAGACACAGAATATGGTTAACAAACATCTCTTGCTTTTTATCACAAAGCGGATCAATATCGTTGTCATTCAATAGAGCCGAGAAGAAGGTAACCGCCTCTTGTTCAATGTCCGGTTGACTTGTTAGCATGTCCCCATTCTCAGACTTGATTTTAAAGATCCTTTGCCTCACTCTCAGTTCTTTTGAAGATGCATGAAAGAAAGAGGTGTTAGAGTCCCCTCCACCCATTTTATTTTCATTTTCTGAGTCCAAAAATCATCATGTTCCTTGATCCTCATGAGCAACTCGGCCTTGGCAGCATTCAACCGCACCCTATCTTGAATTGCACCCGTTGTATCATAGACTCCTTCAAGATCTTGGACTTTCTTCTCAGCCGCTTTTAGATTGGCAAAACCATCACCAAAGGTCTCGTTGTTCCACTCTTTTAATTTTGCTTTCAACCGATGCAGCTTGAGTGAGAATCTCAACATACCAAAAGCTTCCAACGGCAAGTCCCAATTCTGTTCAACTACGGCGAGGAAATCCAGCCTCCTCAACCACATTTTTGAAATCAAAAGAACCTCGGTTTACTAGCCCATTGGACATCAAACAAATGGAGCATTGCGCAGTGATCAGAGGTGGTGCGATTCAGATTCTCAAGTCACGAAACCGGAAATAAATCATGCCATTCCGGTGTTATCAAGGCTCTATCAAGTTTCTTGCTTACCCATCCCATTTGGCGAGTGCCCCTCCATGTAAACTCTTCACCAATTGCCTGAATATCTTCAAGATCACATTCATGAATGCATTCATTGAATTCTGAGATGGCGGCCAAATCTTAAACCGATGATCTTGAATATTCATCCAAGGTGTGAATGACGTTAAATTCACCTCCAAGCATCCAAGGGGCCAAAGAGTGGAGCTGTCTAAATGTGATCATATGCTACAATAACAAACGCCAATCCACCTTAGTTGATTTAGCATATACAGCTGAAAGATAAAAAGTTCCATTCACCAAAGCATCAATAACTTCAAAATGGAGGACTTGATCCAAATCCTCCAACAATGTGAGCATAAAGCCATGCCTACTAAACACCCCAATCTTGTTATTTTCTGAGGAAAAAGAAAAATCAAAGCCAAGCTCTCTTCTAACAGCACCAATCTGGCTACTAGAAACCATAGGCTCCATGATAAACAAGACCGATACTTTATACATATTTATCAAAATTTTCAAACATTGTTGGGATGCTTGATTTTTTATTCCTCTAATATTCCTGATAGATTGACTTAACATGGAAAAATTAAGGGGAAAAGGAACACATTACTGTAACCTAGGTGATTGTCTAGGGTTCACCCCTTTGAGTTGGTCCGCCTTTTTGGCTTTTGATTTCGGGCCTCTGTTGCGCGACACCTTAACGTCTTCATGAAACAAACCTTTGTCCGTATCATTAACCAACACATTCTCCATATCCCCTTCCGACCAGCAGGCATGGTTCCCAATATCAGACTCCAAGAATTCCGAGTTAATACCAACAGTTCCATCATCCGAAGAATGTCCAATACACAAGGGATTTTCGCTAGCCACCCTTTGCAAAGCACTCTCTACTTCAGAAGAGGTTGTACTTTCAAGATTTCCAACATATACATCTTCAATTTGAGCCTCTTCTTCCTCTTCTTGATCCTCACAGTCAGCCTCATCGATCGTACACAGCAATGCAAAACGGTTATCAGTTTGCGCATCATGGGTTTTTCGTGGCTGAATGTTCTCTGATTCTAGCACCGCCAGTTGGGGAGGGACTTGGTGTATTACTACTGGAGGAAGGTCATGTCCATCGACAGAGATTTTGAGCTTTTCTGGCTGAGATGGAGGTGATGCCGCAACATCCAAACTGGAATCGCAGTTCGCGGAGCTAGGGTTTCTGCATGCCTGAGTTCCGCAGCCTGCGACTAGGGTTTCCACCATGCTCCCTTCTTGCGACTTTGGGATTGAGCTTTCTTTTGGGGGGAAGTCGCGAACATCAACAACTGTAGCTGCCTTCTCTTCCTCCGTCAAGCCTGACAATGAACCAACTCCAGCAGTATTACGTTCTTTATCCCATTCCCCAATGGCTTTTCCAAAACCCTAGTGCGCAAGGGTGCGGCTTGCGACGGCTGCACGGGTTTCAATTTGTTTGTTCCATGTTCTTTCAACTGTTGTTTGCCCTTCATCTCATTCTTCAGTGGCAAACCTTTCTTGCAATCCTTTACTTTGTGATCAATCTTGAAACACTTAGAACAATAGAAGGGAACATGTTCATATGTGAAAAGTTGCTCCTATTTCCTTCCCCTTTTGCCAATTTTGACGGATATAGGAAGCTCTTTTGTCAAATCCACCTCGACACAAAACCTAGCCACCGATGGACAGGTCATGTTCAATGTGGGGGCATCAACCTTCAACGGCTTTCCAATCGCCGTAGCTATTGAGAAGATTACCTCCGGGTTTAAGAATTCAATTGGGAGATTGTAAAGCGAAACCCATATTGGTACTATTGGCGGATCCTCCTCAAACTTGAAACCCAGTTTCTACTTGTGAATTCTCATGGAAAAGCCGACTACATTCCAGAACGTACACATCCAACAACATTGATACTCTTCTTTGCACTCAAACCGAATCAAAATGTGCCTAAGGTTCATCAACCCTAAAGTGTATGCTCCATTGAACACAATTTTCTTGAATTCTTTATGTATATCCTCTATTTTAGGTCTCCCATATGCAAACTTGCCATCCAAATTCATTTGATGAGGAGCAATCATTGGTGAAATAGTTATTCATTTCGTATCTTATGCTAAATTATCCATCCTCTATTATATTGTTATTAATTTAAAAATTGATCTAATGTAATCATGAGAATATTTGTCATTCATCATGTAACTTGTTTCATTTATCTTGAACTTGTGTTAGTTATCCCGCAAATGTCATTCATCTTAGCGATTTTTGTTATTCATCATGTAATACGTACTTATATGTGATTGTAAATATATTTCATTAATCTTGTAAAACTATGTTATTCATCATGCCAATATATATGTCATTTATAATGTGAATTTCTCATTCATCATGAAAATTCGTGTAATTCATCCTTTGCTCATGTGGTATTCATTCTATAGAGATTCGTATTCATTCTGAAGATGTGTCATTCGTCATCTGTGAATTGTTATTCACCTTTAGTAGCATTGTTATTTATCATGTATTTTATGTTAACTGGATTAAATATATGTAATTTTTTTTTGGATGGAATTGATGTTTTCTTTCTAATGATTATTCATCATTTAATATAACGGAAATTTGTTGTGAATTATGTTGTATACTATAGCCTAATGGATTATGTTTGATAGTTGCCAATCCTTTAATCCATTATCAATTAATCATTATTTTAGCCAAAACAGAATTTTGGTTGAATGTGAAACTTTACTTATTGCAACGTTCTCTTTGTTTGATCAGCGACAAAGAAATGCTAATCAAGATGAAGTCGATCGGTCGAGAATTAAAATATTTTGCCAGAGTTACTAAAATCAAACAATCAACATAAATGTATTGAGCATCGGCAATTCCTTCAAGACCTTATAAGTTAAAAACAATGACTAATTTTTTTGTTAATTTTTTTTGTCTAGTATAATACATAATTTGAAGTTTATTAGTTAGTTGCTGATATTAATCTATTGTAATACATACTATTGTTATCAAAGTTATTCATCCACTATCGTATATTATTCATTCATTAAAGTACAAATATTCATCTTGCCAAACTACAACTATTCTTCATTGTAATATTGTTATTCATTTAGGATGGGATCATTATTCATCATATTTGCATCGTTATTCATCTTTGTGAATATCGTTATTCATTGCAAAATTTAAATTTATTCGTCCATAACGTTGTGACTATAAGAACACCATTATTCATCCACAATATTATTATTATTCATCGATAAGTATACCATTATTTATCCAAACAGATATCGTTATCCATTAAAATCTTTCAAATTTGACGCTTAATTCTCTGGATTTCATTATTAATCAGTCGAAATTTTTTGCTCCAATTGATTATCCAGATTCATAAGTCTCGATGATGAACATATTAAATTTTACCAAAATAAAAACCATCGTTAAAAATGATATCATAAAATAAACTAATATAAAACTAACAGGATAAGCAAAAAAAAAGTTTAAAATTAAACGTGTGCTAAAAAAAAGGAGATCAAATTGTGGGGATTAAATGCTCAAAAAAAGGGGATAAAATTGGAGGATTAAATGTGCATGTGGCGATATAAAATCCTGACTAAAATGACCAATTTTTTTTTCCAAGTTTGTGATACACGCACTGGAAAGGTATACCTAGGTGCTTGATATTATTTGACTCTCACGAGACATTTGCATTTCACCTTACATGCAATCATTTATTGATTAGTAAATTTTCTAAACTTGGTGCACCACTTTCTACACCACTTTCTACACTACATTTAAAATATCCCAATTTGAATATTATACTCCCTCCGTCCCATAATTATTGTCCAGTTTGAGTTTTCACTTCTAGTTCAAATTGTACTAAAAGTCAAAACCCAAACTGGATAATAATTTTGGGACAGAGGGAGTATATCTTTTCAATATTTGTTCAATTGATAAATCATTTGCATTTTCTATTTTTTTCCTTAGAGTTTACTTGGTTCGGAGTTAGGATCTATCTATTTTAAAATTGTAGATATAAACATTTCCAAAAAGTCTCTAAATCTAATAAAAAAATAGTTAAATTAACTTATTAGACTTTACCCAATACTTAAATATCAGGTAAGGTGAGATACAATGGTGAAATAAATTAGATGAGTTGTGTATCATTACTCTTGAATAAAATGGTGTAAAAGTCTGTGTGTGAGATGGAAATGCAGGTGAAAAGGTTTTTCAAAAAATTGAGAAGTAAATTTTGGAATATTTGTTTCCTTTTAAAGTGTAAAATATTGTACTTGCCGTCAATTAACACATTTAGTGATAGTCAACGCTCCATAAAGACGGACTCACGCGAACGCGTCCATCCAGGTGAATTAAAACAAGATGTATCCACAATCAATTTTTTTTTTCTTTTGGTATATCATTAAGAGAATACACCCTCCATTATTTTTTTATATGTCTTTATAAAAAATTCATCAAAACCAAGAAAACATTAATTAATGTAGTTAAAATACAAAAATACCCTTATTAATTGTATATACAACTCATCACTAACCAATAGAAATTTATCATAAATATTATTTCATTTCCTATACAAGAATAATTTTGGTAAAAAATGGTCAAATGTGCATCAATTTGTGAAAACGACATATATTTAAAAAAATTCACTAAATCCTAAAACGTCATATATTTCAAAATGGAGGGAGTAGTACTATAAATTGTAAGTTATTTCTAAGTCTCGACTTGTGGCTCAAATCTCCATGTAATCCGCCTTCAAATTGTAATCATCTAACGAAGGCCAAACCTTGGGTTGTTAAGATAAATATATGTAATTCTGACGAAAATTCTAGTTTGTACTGTAATTAACTAGATTAAGGTTGTTGTAACTAAAAATTCGTTGAAGTCGAACATGTCTCTTGATCAAGTTGTTAAAGGAAATCCCTGTCGAGGTCAAACAAGTGTTTTTAATTATTCCAATTGACCGTGTCCATTATTCGTTTTTAGTCAATGTGGAATATGATAAAGGGTAATTTGATGAGATTCTATCTATTCCCTTTCGCTGTCTCTAGCTATCATCACTCCTTTCTTATATGCAGACTGCATGCCAATTAATAATAGCCGCTTCAACTTGATTAAGAATAATTGGGTATGTTTATAGTGATGATATTTCTTTAGGCACAAGTCTTAGTGCACAAAACATTTATGACCAACAAAGTTTCCTATCTTAACTCACCATCAACTCAGTCAAATCGAATGAAATGAAGAACCTTTCGCAGAAAATAATTCATTTTAGTTAAAAAGGGAATCGTGTTCAAAGAAACCAAAGTCATGTGTTTTATATAGCTGCTACACATATACACAATGAACGATTTCCATGCCTTTTATAAGTTTCAGTTTTTTTATGCATTTTGTTTTTTTGAAATTAGGGGGGGGCTTGGCGAAGGGGAAAACAAGGTTCAATTGCAGCTCTAGTCCATTCACTAGGGTATCATTTCCGTACTAAATATTTCTGCTGGCCGGATTTGTGTTGTATTAAAAAACTGTATTCATAATTAAAGTCCTATTTTTACGGAATGGAAACACATAGAAATGTCCACTTGAGGGATTTGTGTTGCATGGTGCATGCACTTCATGTTTCTAAATTAATGCCTACGGGAAATGTATTTGGCTTGACGATTCGAGTTGAATATTTCTTGTACAACCACCCCACTTAAGCCCAACTCGCGTTAATTTTGTGTCATAATTAGCAAAATGATTTATTTGAGACTGTCACTATTCAGAATAAGCAGCTTAGTACTGATTTTGGATTTGAATGAGCGTGCAACTGAAGAAGAAAAAGAAAAAGGTATGGAGAGAGAGCAAACAATGCAAGAAGTGTATACGATAAAATAACTTAACTAAGAGGTGGCAGTAAGTAAATCTATTAATTGATCAATGCAATTGATTGTTCCGATCTACGAGAGCAACTGATAGATTAGATGAGTAGGCTTCCCCTTTCAATCACGAAATCTGATCTAAGACACGAAGGGAGTTTGTGTGCCTCCGTAGAGAAAATTTTTTTTTTTTCCTTAAAAGCCAAATATAGCCCCACCGCTGTTGTCAAAGTCTGTAAACCCTCACAAGGCTGCTCTATCGTAGAAAATTGCCCGTCATGAGATGATCCTTTTTCGACAAGGGAAAGAAGGTTTGGCCGTAGTAATTGGCTTTAATGAAACGATAAAAAATATTTTTTGGTAACATCAGAGAAACCCAAAAACATT